AAACAGAACACTCCACTGCTCTGCTCGCGGGCAAGGGGTTATATATAGGCATCTCATTGGTCCCGGTTTGTGGTTGGAACCGGGACTAAAGGACCACATTTGGTCCCGGTTCCAGCCACGAACCGAGACTAAAGGTTGTGGGCCAAGAGCAAGGCCTATTGGTCTTCGTGTCTCAAACCGGGACCAGAGGGGCCAGACGAATCGGGACCAATGCCCCACGAGGCCCGGCCGGCCCCTGGCCTCACGAACCGGGACCTATGCCCCCATGGGTCCCGGTTCATGACCGAATCGGGATTAATGGGCTTATGTGGCCCGGACCAAAGCTCTGTTTCCTACTAGTGCTACTGAATAAAGTTTATGTGTTTTGTTTCAAAAAAGTCCACCTAATCTATAGCATTGGTCGTGGGCTCTCCTAGGAAAATAAAGTTAGTACATTTTTGGGTGTTGTAACTAATCATGATTAACTAATCCTAAAAAATATATAATTATTTGCACAACTATAGTACATGATGCAATTGCTTGGGGGTGGGGGTGGATCTTGCTCCTACTCGCCCCATGGTCTCCGCCCAAGGCATGCACGTTATATATTTTCAGTCTTTTTTATGAAAGACAAGCCCTCAGGCTGTTGTAGAAATCATGCGCATGGTGCATCGACCTGGGCCCGACCCAGTTAGGGAGCAATGTCAATGGGGGTAGAGGTGGGTGAAGGGGTGAGGCGATGACGAGGCACAGCTGGAGCGAAGCACCACCAGAGATGGACCGATGCGGCGACGAGCCACGACGATGCACGTGCTGGTGAAAGGTCGGACCGGCGGAGGTCGCACTGAGGACATAGAGTGGCCGCGTGGGTGGCATGAGCTGATGTTAGGCCAACTCCACCGCGCGATCCTATCCTGTCCGCCCCCGTCCGTTTGGGGTAAAAGGGACAAAAGAGGCGGCCCAGCGCGCGACCTCAAACGGACAAATGTCCGGATTCCGTCCGTTTTCGACCCATTCCCGGCCCAAACTTGCGCTCGGTTTGGGGTGAAACGGACAACGCGCGAACGGGCGGGACGCGCGCGCTTGTCCTCCCCTGGCCCGTCTGTCGGTGGGAGAAACCAAAACCCCCCCACGCCCATTGGGCGCCATTTGCCCCAAACCCTCCCACGTCCCTCCCGCCGCCCCCTCTCTCCCCCGTCCATGGCCGACGCCCCACCGAGTTCCGGCGGCCTGGCCGTCGATCCGCCCGCAAAGGTGAAGAAGAAGGCGCCAAGAAAGCCGCGGTCGGAGTGCACGCCAGAGGAGATCGCCAAGTTGGACGCGGAATCGGCGAAGAGGAGGGAACGGAGAGCGGTCGTCAAGGTTAATGCCGCCGAGGCCACCAATGCTGCCACCAAAGCGAAGGAGGTGGCCCTTGCGATCATGAGCGTGAACTTGTCGAAGATGAGCGACAAGACGAGGGCCTGGTTCGAGGCTAGGCAGAAGGAGATGCTCGACGCCGAAGGCCTGAACTAGGTCGTCCGATCGGCGTGGCCGTTCTTTTTGAGGCTGGCATTGGTGCCGCCCGCCCGCCCGTCGGGCCGCTGGTAGTGTGCCAGCGAGAAAACATTCATTTTGGAGGCCGGCTGTGTTGCCGGCCGCTGGCTGTGTTGCCGGCGAGGAGAACTATTCATTTTGGAGGCTGGATGTGTTGCCGACCGCTGGCTGATGCCGGTGATGGACGTGTAGGCCGCTGGCTCTGTTGCCGGCGTGATGAACCATGGCCGCTGCTGGCCTGAACTAGGGCTTGGCATTTGAAATGTTGCTTTTAGTTTTTTAAGTGTACGCGGACAGAATGGGGCAAATGGATGCGGCCGCGCGCTGGGCGCACGGCCACCGCATCCTAGGACAGGTCCGGACACGACCCCAAATCCCTACCCAAACGGATAGAATCCGGACAAAACGGACGTCCGTTTGGGGTCGCGCGGTGGAGTTGGCCTTAGGCCAATGCCGACTGGCGGGTGGTCGAGGCGGGGAGAATGAGTGAAAAGCAGGAAGGAAGAAGAATATAATATGGAGAAAAGGATAAAGAAGTTTTTTTTGAGGAAAAAGGAGAAAGAAGATGGAGAAAGGGAGAAATAAGATGAAATCACTAGTTAAGGAGTACTCGTTGCGAATATCATTCCAATTTCTCAGGTTGCGACAAGTGGCGGCGTGCTGCATGTGCGTCACTTGTCACAACCTCGGAGTTTTTCCTTTTTCGTAGATCCGTTTATTCAAAACGTTTTATCTCTTAAACCGTGCGCAAAATTTCGAACCGCTTTCGCCGTTTGATTCCTCGCGTCGAGATCTTCAAAACTAGATCCCATGTTGACAATTTTTGACGAACTTTTTTTCATGAAATAAACCAGACGAAAAAACCAAACCGGGAGCATGGGTTTTTCCCTTTTCGAAAGAGGCACGCATGTGCCTCTGACGAAGTCACAACCGTGCCTCTCGCGGAAGCAAAACCGTGACTCTCCCGAAAGGAAAAAGAAAACAAAAAATGCATTTTTTTCTCTGTTTCCGAGGAGGCACAGCCGTGTCTCTCGCGAAAGCACAAACGTGCCTCTCGAGGAAGCAAAACCTTGACTCTCATGAAAGAAAGAAAACAAAAAACATGTTTTTTTCGTTTCCGAGGAGGCACGGCCGTGACTCTCGCGAAAGTACAACCGAGCCTCTCGCGAAAGCAAAACCGTGACTCTCGCAAAAAAAAACAGAAAACGCTTTTTTCCGTTTTCGAGGAGGCACGACCGTGACTCTCGCGAAAGCACAACCGTGCCTCTCGCGGAAGCAAAACCGTGACTCTCGCGAAAGGAAAAAAACAGAGCACACATTTTTTTCGCTTCCAAGAGGCACGGCCGTGCCTCTCGCGGAAACAAAACCATGACTTGCGAAAGGGAAGAAAAAGAAAACGCGTTTTTTTGCGCAATTTTTTTTGAATTTTTTTTGGTCGGAAAGCTAGGGAAGACCGGTGGAAAATCAAACATCGAAAAAACCCAGAAAATACCATTTAAAAAGCCAAAAACGCGTGTGGAAAAATTAAAAAACAAAATCCGAAGGGAACGCCCAGAGCACGACACGTGGCAAATCACTGAGAGCACGCCAAATGACGCTGATCGTTGCGAGGCTCCCGAAGGAGCGCTCCTTAATCTTTTTTTTAGGATAACTAGGGATTTATTCAAAGTTCAAGACATCCGGGATACAAGCAATGTCAGGGTGATTCCTTAGCCACACATGGCGGCCCACCGAAAAGACGCAGCTCTTTTTGCTATCGAGCAGGCCTCAAAATTATTTTCCCTACGCTCAAAACGAAAAGAAACAGTAAGAAAACTATTTCTACTCACAAGAATTTCTTTTAGCCACCGATGTTGCAGTGTTGTTGATGTTCGAGATCATCTCAAGGCTGTCCCAGGCTATCACCAGATTATCTATACTACTATATAGTGTATCAGTTTGAATTCAGGCATTGCAATGCATATCCGGCCGTTCATTGGGTCCATCCGACGGCCAAAAGTGATTGGATTCGCAGCTACAGTAGCGCTGAGTGTCATCTGAATCATTCCAGAGACAACCATGAAGTAGCATAGAGTCAAAATTATCTGGGTCGTTCTAGAACCAACCCACTGCATGTTTGCAGCAGGTTGGAGCTAACCGAGTTTCCAGAGACCATATTCCACACTCCTTGCATCCCCTCGGAGCAACACAAATTATTTCAACAAAGTAGACTCAGGCAGCGGTACATGTGGTTGATAGGTAGGTTGCTTCAGTACTACTAAGTCTGACAAGCGGTAAAAGTAAGACGAAGAAATATATAAAACTAAACAGATTGAACCAGTGCAGTTTTGGGTGGACAGCTGTGCCCACATATAGGACGTCACTGACTTGGTGTGCATTTTTGGATCGAAAGCTGTAGCAAATGTTACATTAAAACATAGTAATAGGTATCCAAATTTAATGTATACTACACATTCTTTAGATGTGATAGTTATTGAGTATATGAACATGAGAAGCTTTCTTATTTAAATTATAGGCATTTCGTTTCTGCTTCCGTACACGCACAATTTTTATTTGTCTGAAATTATTTTTTTAGAATTTCTCAAAGCATTTCACGTAGTGTTTTCTTCGGCTCAAGTCAACCCACAATGTTAAGATACATATTACACGTGCATACATACTAGTATATGAAGGTTCAAATCCGGAGCGAGCGCAAGAGCTTCACTGCACGCATGCGCCTCCAAACTCGCTGGATCAACCTTAATCAGTTGCTCTCGAAATAAGAAGCCGCTGGAGGGGAGATGGGCCGGGCCACTTATTCGCGTCAGTAGCGCAGCCCATTCCACCAAAAACCCTACAGATAAGCGTGTGCGTCCACTCGCTCCCTGTTTTCCGACTGCGCGCAGCGGCGGCGCCCCGCTCGACTCACCGGCCGGCGCACGGCTCCGCCACGCTGCCGCGGCGCCTCACTGCTTCCAGCCTCCGAAGCCCCGCCGCTAATGGTGATAGAGCGATAGGGAGACTCGCCCTCAATCCCACACCATGAATTCGCCGCCGCCGCACGCAGCCGCCACACGCTGGTCGACGACGCCATCCGCGAGATTTTGCTCCGCATCCCGACGGATGACCCGGCGAGCCTCGTCCGCACCTCTGCCGTCTGCACCACCTGGTTCGAAATCGTCTCAGACCCCGCCTTCTTCCGCGACTACCGCGCTTTCCACGGGGCGCCCCCGGTGTTGGGCTACCTCCACAACAAATCCTACGAAAGCCATGGCGTCGCCCGATTCGACCCCACCGGAGCCTTCTGCCCGCTGGTTCGCGACCGCCGCAACTGGCACGCGGCCGACTCCCGCCATGGCCGCGTCCTCTTCTACACACCCAGAGAGAAGCACACAGATTTCATCGTCTGGGACCCCATCACGGACCGCCGGTGGGGGTTTCTCACCGACCCCAAGCTGTCGGAGATAATTGAGACTGCAGAGGACCAGCAGGAGGAGATAACCTGGATGGCCGCGGTGCTCTGCGCCCAGGATGGCTGCGACCACCTGAACTGCCACGACGGTCCCTTCCTCGTGGCCTTCGCGGGCTCCAATGAGTTAGAGAGGACCATGTTCGCCTCCTTCTACTCATCCGAGGCTGCCGAGTGGAGCAAAATGATCTCCATTGAGAACCCGAATGCCACCAGTGCCATGGAGGAAACAGGGCACACTGCGGTTGTGGGAAACAAAGTCTATTTCCCCCGCGAATCGAGCAGAAGAATAGTGGTGTATGACGTGGGCGAGCAAGAACTTTCGGCGATCAATTTGCAGGACCAGCCATGCGGTAAACTCATGGGGGAGGAGGACGGCGCACTGGTGTTTGCGAGTATGGGGGATTCTAAACTCTATTTGCGGTTAATGGAGGATGGTCCCAATGGAGTTGTGGCAAGGGGGCAACGCAGGGTCGTTGAGCTTCAAACATCGCTCCCTCCTAGTGCCCTCTCGAGCACATACTGGATGGTACGCAAAACCTTCGTGAGTGGTGGACCCTCGCTGGTTGGTTTCGCGAGCGGTGCTGGTGTCATCTTCCTCAATACAGAAGCTGGCCTGTTCACAATTGAGGTCTGTTCTGGCCAAACAAAGAAGGTACACAGAAAGATGTTCGTCCAGACAGTCATACCCTATGTGAGCTTCTACAGTCGAGGTACTAGCTTCTTTGAACGTGTATAACTTCAATATATTTGATTCAACTTCAACTTGTAGTATTTTTTTTTCCAGAACATGTCAGGATCGTAATGCCACTGCAATCAAAACGTGGTTGTGGTGATCATCCACATGAATCGGACACTATTTTGCATGGTAAGGGTTTAACGGGTCATTCTATTAACTGCAACAATTGTCCATCTCTGTTGCTGCAGCGATAGAAAGCATTAACATTAGAACATTTTGCCTTGTACTCCTTCCGTTCTAAAATAATTGAAGTTCTAGGATTGTGCTAAGTTAAACTTTTTAAAGTTGGACAAAGTCTATAGAAAAATTTGCTAAGATCTACAATCAAATATACATAATATGAAAATATATTTCATAATGGATCTAATGAAGCAAATTTAGTGTTGTAAATGTTGCTATATTTTTATTTAGACTTGGTCAAACTTAATGCAGTTTGACTTAGGACAAACCTAGAACTTCAATCATTTTGAAATGGAGGGAGTACTAGATTGACTCTGGATACTCAGCAATAATGCCCAAGCCTTCCACCCTTCCGTGCACACCCAATTCTTGCTGGGATTTGGTCCAACTAGAGGCTCTGTTCGGTTACTCCCTTCCATGGGTTAGATAACATGGCAGGCACAGTTCCAAAGGGTCATATTAACAGCTGCTAGCAGCCTAGCATGTACAGTATCATCTGTATGAGAAATGTGCATTCCAGTCTGATCAGAAAACTTTGTTTCTTAAACACCATTCTTCGGTACGGAAGTACAATGGATCTTTAATTAAGATTTTAAAGCACACTAAAATAACCTGAAAGGTACTGATGGCCAAGCCCTGGATATAAATAGTTCTCTGACTTGCTCAATTAAACTAGCAAGTAGTTAATTCGGGTTATGGATCATACATCATACTGTGTTTACTGCAGAATCAACAAGACTAGCTGACAAATGAGGAGTTTGTAAGGAGTTGTGTCATCACTAGAGCACATTAACACAAATAATAAAACAACTGCAAGATTCAGAAAAATCAAGTTGTTAGAATAGTATTGGGAGCAGTAGCCTAAAATACACAACATAACATCTAAGAGGTTACTAAATTAAATCAAGTAGAATAACACCACATAAGGTATGTGCAAGTAACAAGTTTGGTTCTCAGTTTGAGCAGTGAATGCTTATGCAAGAGGCACTGCTGCTATATAACCTACTAGAAAAGGTACCAAGTTCTTAATATTGTTTCATGACTAGAAGAATGTTAAGCTTAACATGGCACATTATATCCATTTCAAAAGTGTTGTAAAATGCTCAATATTAAGTTACAGCGTAAAAGTATAGCGCTTGTTTTGAGTGTCATTGTGGTAAGCAGCAATTTTTTTGGTATTACAAAAGTTGCTATCTTGCTCTTATCAGATAAATCATACATTTGACGACTACAACTTGTGATGGAAACAGGTTGGGATATACAAAACCAATGTGGAGTTCAATCTTTTTTTCTACAAAGTATTTTAGCTTACTGATAGAATATTTTAAATTTGGTAACAAAAATTCAGCAAATTTTGGAAACGGTTAATATAGAAATGGAGTTCTGGTAAGTGCAACAGAAGTCAATCTTAAAGGCTTCAGTTTTATAATGAACCATGAAGCCCAAAAGAGATGTACGAGTCTAACGACTAGTCTATTAGTCTCAATCTGATCGTCGACTAGCTTCTTCGTGTAGTCGAGCGGTGGAGCCACTAGTCATTGACTAGTCCAGACTAGTCTGGGTGTTTGAGTCGATCGACTCAATTTGGGAGGGATAAGTGAGCAGCGCTCAACCCGCGGGAGGGAAAAAATTGCAACCCTAGCTTTCCAGGCTCGCTCCACAGCGAGCTGCCTCACCTGGGACTAGGCCGCCGCCACCGCCCATTGACCCGCCGCTGCCGCTGCCACCCAACCACCCCGCCAACGGTGCCCAGGAGCATTACGACGCTCTCCCTCCGCTGGTTCTGCTCCTCCTGTGGGTCCACCCCTCTGCTGTGTGCTCCTCCCCTTGCCGTTCTCCTATGCTGTTGTGATCCTCCTCTGGGTCAACTCAATTTTTATTGTATTTATTTTTGTAGTATAATATACAGTAAATATTACATACTACTCCCTCCGTTCCTAAATATTTGTCTTTCTAGAAATTTCAATAAGTGACTACATACGGAGCAAAATGAGTGAATCCACACTCTAAAATATGTCTATATACATCCGTATGTGGTAGTCCATTTGAAGTCTCTAAAAAGACAAATATTTAGGAACGGAGGGAGTAGGTATTACCATATTAGTAGTTTAGTACTCTAAGTTGAGTACTACAGTACTATGTCGACTAGTCCAGCAATAGTCTAGACTAGTCATGACTAGTCTATGAGTCTCAACCTTGGCTCGACTCCTCAGACTCATAATTCTTGCTATATATGGAAAACAAGAATAAACTGTTCTAAATTATTCAGTGCCGTATAATGAATGCTGATGAACATAAGCACATCTGTCATCAGGTCTGTGTCTTGCTGATAACAGCAAATAGTTAGCAGTTGAATAATGATGCACATATACGCTCAATCTCCAACAACAGTAATTCTTACTCCCGGGAACCTTTTCATAACCTTGTATTGGCAAATAAAATAAGCAAAGCATTAACGATACAGCAAAATGACATGAAGCAAACATTTAATCAGTATAAGTGGATGTATTGAAGGTTTAAGTATGCCCTACGGCCAGCTTGAAATGCTTACTTTGTTACAAAAACAGACCATGATAACTACAGCATATCTGCTTGACAATTAGAAGTTCAACTAATTCCAGCATGCTTTGCTGTTACTTTGGAAGTTAAAGAAAGTAATGGTGTTCTTTCTGTTTTTAGCTCGAACATACTCAAATCCTTAATTTTCCCTTGTGAAAATCATACAGACTCAGATACCAAATTTAGTATAAGACACGGAACTTCAATGATATCTTCGTGGGAACTAATTAAACTACAGATTATGTGGCCAATTGGAAGTAATCTGCCCAAAAATAGCTAGCAGATTATGTGCAACATTTTGTGTATTCAGAATATGGATGTACATGAGACCAACTGATTCATGCTACTGCTTGGTGCCTATATTCACAATCACACAGACTAGGCCTCAAATTAAGCACTCCAGAAGGCGTCATCTTCTTGAATACGATGGCAGGTTTTTTTTCTTCTAGAATACGCATAAGCATGTTTATCATTGCATTATGAAGAAGGGGCAAAGAAGCTGGGTACAACGCCTTTCGGACATTACTATGCTCATCTCAGGGATTAGCAACCACACCCACCACGCCTACCACGATACATGCTTAAACTAGTCGAACATCATGCCAATGGCGATGAGGCAAGCCATAGAGCAACCAAGCCGCGTCACGACCAATGCTGAAAACCTCTGCAACATGACCAAGATTCCATGACAAGCCAAACCAATGTTCCACGACCCATTGCGCCTAGAGGAAGTTGACAAGTGGACGGCAAGGCCCGAACGGACCTAGAGAAGGCGTCGTCGAGAGAGCGGAGGTGATGGCATACATTGCGCCTCAGGGACTCCTTAAGCATCCTGAATGGCGCCTCCAAGGAGCGGACGACTCCATAAAGCCATTGTCGCTTGGTCCGTAGAGTCGAACCAAGTGTTTCCCCCGAGCACAAGGGGCGTCATGGTCAGGGCCAAAATGCCAAAACAACGCCACCAAGGAGGGAATGACGCCTGGAGATGTCGCCGTTGGCAGCCTCGGCCATCATGAAGCGGGGATTTCTTCCAACCCATGGCTGCAAAGCCCAACGTCCACTAGTGTTACTCAAGAAGGCCAACCACCACAACGGAAGGAGTTGCATCATGTAGCATTGCAACCACCACCACCAAGCTGACCAAATCTGGATCAGGGAAACCACACCGGCTCGACCATGGACGCAACCAAATCGACGCCAGTGGCTCCTCCCGGCACCATGCCGGCAAGAGCACCACAACATCCCAAGCCGTTACTACGAGGAGAGCCCACTCCCGCCATCGAGCGTTGAACCGCTGGCACAAGGGCCGCCACGACCACACGGGGCTGCAGCGTCACCGGCCCACCCTCGCATGCTTCCTACAGCCATGACCATGAGGTTACATCGCCGCTGGATCTCCGGAGCTGCAATTGTAGAGAGAGCGCCAAGCTGCAGGCCGCCCGACACCAGATCTGACCGCCGCGGCCTCCCCATGGCTGCGGACAGCCACCACCGCCTAGAAGCTCATGGGCCGCCGCACAGGTTCCCAAACTCCACCCAAAACTCCACCATTTGCACAGGAGACAGCCGGAGGACCCCGTCCCTATGGGAACGGGACCCGCCGCCACCAAGGCCAAGGCCGGCGGCAGCGAGGGCACTGAGTGGTTGTTCCGGCGGCTGGCTAGGGTTAGAACCCCTGAGCTGCCACGGGCGGGGCAGCGCGGGGGAAGTGGAAAGTTCTGAAGGAATACCGGTTGTTTAAGTTTGAGACAAATTCAAGTCAAACCAAGAAGGGTTCCAGAGCAAAAATGGCTCTCCAAGTCACTCCTTGCATAACCTTCTACACTCAAGGCATCTAAACATGTAGCGCATTGTATGATTGTTTTCTTGCGATTAGCAAATTCTGTACATATGTTCTTAGTAACAGTTATGTTTAGGACATGAAGTATCAACGGCTTTATGTGCACTAAGAACAATGATGTTATGAAACTGGAATACCACAGTCTCATTTCTAATTGTGTCTATTCAGATCACGTTGGGGACGGGATGCCACTGCCATGAGATGGGCCATCCATCCATCACGAAGAACCTGCTGCCGTTTCACAATGGTAACATTATGATTGATGACATAACCATTAATCTTATTAACCTGTACAACAGTGATCCATCTATACTGCAGTAGCTTGTCATGTTTGATGCCACCGCTAGACCATTATGCCATGTAGATGAATTCTGGAGCTGCATGGATGCTGTCCAAGTTTCTGTGGAGAAATGCTTGGAGCCTTTGTGAGTATGATGTGAAGTATTGAACTTTGGACGTGGTTTCAGAGGAGCAGTCGGTTCTGTGGGATACAGAGAAATGGTAGCTTTGTATCCAAGTGTTCAGTTAGTCCAGCGTCACTATAAATACAAGATTGTTAATTCTGTTATGACTTGTGACAAACTGTTTGCGTTGTGCTCTGAGTGAGACTTGTTAATTTGTGTTGTGACAACTGCATGCTCTCCTGGCAACACATAAGTATGGATGAATATGTAGAGTTCGAAATAATTTATGCTCTCTAGTGCATACTTAGTGAACAAAACCATGTCTGCAGAATTTTGGAAAGCAAAGTCTATTAATTTTGCCTCTACATTCTACTCTCTCCGTTCCGATTTACTGGTCGTGGTTTTAGTTTAAATTTGAACTAAAACCACGACGAGTAAATCGGAATGGAGGGAGTAGCATGTAAATCCCTGTCTCATTTGGATCTAACACATATAGGCAAGGCTTCAATGTTCAATCATCTATAGAATTCACAGTATACTCAATCCACCTACATTGCATACAGAACCTTTTTCCATATTTTTGTTTCTTTTTCGGAAAGGAGGATTAACCCCCGGGCTTTGCATCAAATCAGTGCATACAATTATATAGTACTCCCTCCGTCCTATAGTATAAGAGTGTTTTTGACACTAGTGTAGTGTCAAAAACTTGACACTCTTATAGTATGGAACGGAAGAAGTATTATTTATTATTCAACAATGCGAAGCAACGGCAAGCATCAATGGCGAACCAACCAAGTGGTGTCCAAAGGTATGAATGAATATGTAGATTTGGACATAACTCGTGAGTTAGATCACGGCTGCAGAATTTCGGAAAGCCTGTCTCATTCAGATTTAATACATAGGTAAGGCTTGAATGTTCAATCATCTATAGAGTTCACAGTATACTCATTCCACTTGCATTACAAAGAACCTTTTTTCCAGTGATATTCAAATCTGTTGACATCCAGGGGAAAACGGGCAACCCAGCTGCCAACTATTACAACCAAAACCGAGTATGCCCTCTTTGTTTCTCCAGCCATGGGTTAAATTTGAATCCTGAATTAGCAGTGATTTGTCAACAGAAAACACAAAGAAATTATAAGTTCTCGTGTAAGTGCACCACTAGAATAGGGAAATTAGAACAACACCATTGAGAATGTAATACAGATGGCCGGCATGCCTTGTTTGTTAATGATTAATTCATGATATAGCCATAGGAACATACGGGCCACTGTTACCAAATTCAGGAGAGAAAATAAACCGTTCCTCGACTGTTCCTTTATCTTTCTGAACACCACCTCCCCTGTCCATCAGTATCGACATGACTCTTTGTCCAACACAATACACACATCCAAAACAACCAACTTAGTTTCAGCCCAAGCACAGAATAGAGCAAAAGCGTGTGAACCCTAACCAAACTGTCCAACACAACCAGCAACAGAAAACACCGAAGTTCATTTCAAAAAGCTTCTGGGCAGCAAAAGTAGACAGATCCCATCGCCCTGATGAAATTTGGTTATATCGTTGTACCACCACCAACTGCGGGTGAAGCTTCATCAGAGGCCAGCAACGGCCCCCATTCTGCACAAGAGACAAGGCTTCATAAGATGATATTATGAGTAGAGATGAGCCTACTTATGTCTACTTTCCCTCTAGTTTGTATCAGCACCAAAAGAAGCATGACAATAAAAATCTCATGGTCAGGGTCCTGCTCATGGCTATCTGCAATCAGCCAGGCCCGTGGCATGACTCAACGCAGAAGTATGAATGAATATATAGACTTCAACGTAATTTGTTTGTTAGATGATGGCTGGACAATTTTGTAAAGCCAAGTCTGTTAATTTTGCCTCTACGTTCTAGCCTGCAAATCCCTGTCTCATTCATATCTACTAACACATAGGCACGGCTTAAATGTTCAATCATCTATAGAATTCGTGGTAATACTCATTCCATCATTGTATACAAAACTTTCTTCCAGTGAAAACTGTTTGTAGGAAATTACAAATGCAATGACATCCAAAACTGTTGACACCCAGGGGGAAACAGACAATCCAGCTGCCAACTATTACTGTCAAAACCGAGTATGTCTTTCTTTGTTTCTCTAGCTATGGGTAAAATTTGAATCCTATATTTTATAGCATAACATATACATGGTCTACCCAGACCGTGATTTGTCACAGGAAAACACAAAGAAAGTTCTGGATATGTTCTCGTAATTGCGCGCCACTAGAATAGGAAAATAATGAACTGAGATGGCCAACATGCCTTGCTCGTCGCGAGTATGTAGCTAGTAATTCATGATGTAGCCGTAGGAACATAATAGCTATCAAACAGAAAACCAAGCAAAGTGAGCAGACCTGCATAGAGTATCTATCTACTTATGCAGAAAAATGAGAAGAAAAATAGCTACATACTCGCGACGTATTCAACAATCTAAGCTAGAATCACAAGTGCACTGAAATAGTAGTCAATGGTGTGCTTAGTGTTCATAACTTCAAGTGCATGTCTGAAAAATAGTAGAAGTGGTTTCTCTGTATACCTCCAGTGTAGAAGCTCATGTAGGGAATGGCCTTTTCGATGCTTTGCATTCCATGCACCTTCTTGCTTCGGCATGAACTGAGCTCAATTGTGTACAACCCAGCCTTTGTACTCAGGAAGATGACACCAACACCTTCAGCAAAACCAACCGGCGTCACGCCTGAGTTGTCCAAGAGGACAGGAGTAGGGAGCAACGATTTGAGCTCGATGACCCTGTGTCGCGTCCATCGCGCAGCTCCGCCGGGACCAGTCTCCAGTGACCACAGTAAGAGTCTAGGCTTCACCACGGACACAAAGAGCGGCATGCCGTCCTCCACCCCCATGAGAGTAATGGCCTGGACCACAAATGGGGGATTGATCACAGATAGTTCTCGCTGGCTCATGTTGTACACGATGAGACTGTCACTCTCCATACAGGGGACATAGACCTTATCTCCCACTACAGCACTGTGCCCCGTGTAGTGGATGTAATGCTCGTGCTCAACGGAGGTCACGTCAGTCCACTGACGAGTCTCTGATGAGTAGACGGCGGCGTGGGCAGCCCTCCCTGTATAGTCGCAGCCGACGAAGGCCACGCGGAAAGGACCGCCATGGCAGTCGAGGTGGTCACATCGGTCCTTGGCGCAGAGCAGCGTGGCGTTGCAACGTAGGCACGCGTGCAAGTCGTCGTCGTCGTCGGGCCACCACATGAAGTAGTGGCACTTGGGATCGGCGTGAATTTCCCAGTGCTCGCCGGTGAGGAGGTCGTAGACAAGGAAGTCCTCGTGACTCTTAGGGGTGTCGAAGAGGGCGAGGCCGTGGCGGGAGTCGAGGACTCGCCACTTGCGGCGGTCCCGGCACGCCGGCGGGCGGAAGGTGGCGGTGGAGACGAAGTGGGAGGAGTACCAACGCCTCTGGCCGCGAACATCGATGTGGGTTGTCATGTGGTGGTTGTTGTAGAGGAAGCCCAGCACGGGCGCCGCGCCGTGGAACTTGCGGTAGTCGTGGGCGAATTGGGGATGGGACATGATGCCGCGCCAGCTCCAGCAGCAGGCGGCGGCGCGGACGAGGCTCGCGGGGTCGTCCCCGCGTACGCGCAGGAAGATCTCGCGCATGAGGTCGTCGATCAGCGCCCCGGCGAGCTGGGGCGGCGCTGCGGCGGAGGCCGCCTGGTCGCCATGGGGATTTGGGGGTTGGTGGAGGAGGGATTTGGGGGCGCATTCGGCGGTGGAAGCTGCCGCGGCGTGGAGTTTTCCCCCCCTTTTCCCCCCTTCTTCTGTTGGGAGAGATGATGGACTCGTGTGGGCTGTGGCTGATCACGTACGGGAATGGGCTGGGCTGGGCTGCTGGGTTGTTGCGTCTTTCAAATGGGATCCAGGAAACGGTATCTGCTCAAACAAACAAAAAAACTGGAAATGATAAATTGATCTAAAAAAGCTATAAATGGTAAATCCACTAAGAAATGGTAAATTCTCTATAAACTAGAAATCGACATACATTGACCATTCAAAGGTTAGGCATATATGTTTGCCAAGTCAGCACACCATGACATGTACTTCCTCCGTTCCTAAATATTTGTCTTTCTAAAGATTTCAACAAATGACTATATATGGAGCAAAATGAGTGAATCTACACTCTAAAATATGTATATATACATCTGTATGTGATAGACTATTTGAAATCATTAAAAAGACAAATATTTAGAAACGGAGGGAGTACTTACGTATGAGCTAATCTCTTTTTACATGAAAATGAAAACGAGCTAAGAATGCTTTTGCTTTTGCACATAGCTTAGATCGCAGCATGTGATTTCCAAATACGCATGAATTTTAGTTCTTCCCATTTTCATGTGTCACTAGACGTTGTGTGTAGCTCTGCTAGTTGTCTGATCGTTGGGGTTGCTAATATGAAAACAAGACCAGGTTATCTTACCAAGGTGAAGATCACAACGATGTAGCCAGAGAATGCCACAAAACAGCAGCACAAAGCATGCTAGCAACGCGTTCATAATCTGTTCTTACCTCAATCTGAACAAAATCTGAAAGTTCAGGCCACCACAAAAGGGCAATCAAAGAACAAGTTAGAAATAGACAAAAAGGCATGTTGATCGACTAATGTTGTATGTCTCTTAGCCACATTGGCCCTAGTGAGAAGTCTACTGTAAGTTTATGACTCAAGAAAAGAGGCCACAGAAACACGTGACCCTGGTGGAAATTCTAGTTTGGCACAAGCAGGTATGTAGAACTGAGACCCACCTGAAATTTCTTACTGCATGCATACAGAGATTGTACACCGTAAATCCCAGAATAGTGCATTTTCAAGGCAATAATATCATCTCTATCAGCCAGAGATAGGGAAGAAGAAATTTGCAACAATTCATGCCACAAAACCGTCAACGGATCACCAAAATTTCTCCTCGCAGTCAGTTTGCGTTGCACCCAACTCGGACGAAAGGATTCAAGTTTTTCGCACAAGCAGAAATGGAACAAAAGCGCATCCACCCTAACCAGACTATTCAACACAACCAGCAGCAAATGAGGCTCAAGTTCACTTCAAATTCTTCCTGGGCCGCAAACAGTAAACCAAGGTCCTGACGCCATTTAGTTATATCCTTCTAGCACCAACAACTGCGCGTGAAGCTTCATCAGAGGCCGGGCAACCGCCCTATTGCTGCATCATAAGAGAAAAGATTCATCAGATTATATGATAAGTAGGAGAGGATCACACTTTGCCCCTCAGAATCATTGCATTTCTACTTGTCCAAATCAACCAAGCAATAGCAGGAAGAATCCACATCACAACACGATTCGATCTGGATCTGTTTAAGGTTCTTTTCTTTGTATGAAAGAGAGTTTCCTCTCCGATTTCTATTAACAGGAACTAAGGTTCAGCTACAAGCATCCAAAATAAAACTGAAGATGGACCTGTTGGAGGTACACAATAATGAAATCGTCTCTTTCATTTGGGCAGACTCACAGGAAAGTGCCTAGTGCAGACTTGGGATTAGGTTATCCTATCAAAAATACCACAAGGAGGTTTGGGTGCCCCAGGCTCACAGCAGAGCTCTGGTCACTGAATTGCTTTGCAAACTGCTTTTGGCAATCTTAGGGCCTGATCGGCAAATCTTTCAACTCTAAGACCTAATCAGTGCAATATACTCCCTCCGTTCCAAAATAGATGACTCAACTTTGTACTAAGTTTAATATAATGTTGGGTCATCTATTTTGGAACGGAGGGAGTATATACTAGAGCAGCCAACGATGTATAAATCACCAACTATACACTCACCACGGAATTCTTTGGTCAGCTCACTAGTTAATCTGCCTAACCCCAATACCACACAAATACTGTATCTTTTTCTCTGATCTGTATCAACACAAATTCATGGTTGCCTACAATCACCCAGGTCGGCAGAACTCCTCAACACCTGAATAGTATAACAGCACAAAGGATTCGTTCCCACATCTCTTAAAATCAACCAGAAACTGGAAAAACTAGCAGATATGCATACAGATATATATCTAGTTATGCAGAAAAAACAGAACGAAAGAAAAACTGTACATACTCATCGACATTCAGCAATCCCATACCACATCGGGAACTCTCCAACTAAAATTATCCAACAATCTAAGCTACAAAAGCATCAAGCACTATAATAGTAGCCAATGATGTTATTAGTGTTCATGACTAAATGTACATGTTTGAAAAACAGTACAAGGCTAGTATGTACCTCTAGTACAGAAGCTCCTGTACGCCGGCTAACTGCGCGTGCGAGGTCGGCCAACCCCCCTATTGCTGCATCATAAGAGACAAAGATTCATCAGACTATATGATAAGTAGGAGAGGAGCACACTTTGCCCCTTAGAATCATTTCATTTCTACTTGTCCAAATCAACCAAGCAATAGCAGGAAGCATCCACATCACAACAGGATTCGATCTGGATCTGTTTGAGGTTCTTTTATTTTATTTGTAATATGAAAGAGAGTTTTCTCTCCGATTTCTATTGACAGAAACTAAGGTTCAGCTACAAGCATCCAAAATAAAACTGAAGATGGACCTGTTGGACGTACACAATAAAAAAATCGCCTATTTCATTTGGGCAGACTCATAGGAAAGTGCCTAGTGCAGACCTGGGATTACGTTATCCTATCAAAAACACCACAGGGAGCTTTGGATGCCCGAAGTCACTTGGCTCACAGCAAAGCTCCGATCACTTAAGTGCTTTGCAAACTGCTTTTGGCAATCTTAGGGCCTGATCGGCAAATCTTTCAACTCATAAGGCCTAATCAGTGCAACATATATACTGCAGCAGCCAACGAACGATGCATAAATCACCAACTATACACTCACCATGGAATTCTTTGGTCAGCTCCCTAGTTAATCTGCCTAACACCAATACCACACAACTACTGTATATTTTTCTCTGGCCTGTATCAACACAAATTCATGGTTGCCTACAATCACCCAGGTTTGCAGCACGCCTCAACGCCTGAATAGTATAACAGCACAAAGGATGGATTCCTACATCTCTACAAATCACCAAGAAACTGGAAAAAACGAGCAGACCTGCATACAGATATCTATCTAGTTATGTACAAAAAACAGAAAGAAAGAAAAACTGTACATACTCATCGACATTCAGGAATCATATAGCGCATCGGGAACCCCCGAACTAAAATTATCCAACAATCTTAAGCTACAAGCAAAACCATCAACCACTATAATAGTAGCCAATGATGTGATCAGTATTCATGACTAAATGTATATGTTGGAAAAACAGTACAAGGCTAGTAATATGTACCTCTAGTGCAGAAGCTCCTGTAGGGTATGATCTTATCAAAAAACCCTTTGTGAACCCTGTTGCCTTTGCCTGAATTGAGCTCAATTGCGTACAGCCCCGCCCTTGTACTCAGGAAGATGACACCAACACCTTCAGCAAAGCCAACCAGCATATTTGCCTTGTCTGTGAGGAAACGAGCAGGGAGCGATGGTTTGAGCTCGATAGCCCAGCGTCGCGCCCACCCCGCAGCTCCGCCGGGACCAGCCTCCATAGTCCATAGGCAGAGTTTAGCCTTCAGCACGGATGCAAAGAGCAGACTGCCGTCGTCCACCCCCATGAGGTCAATGCTCTCGTCGATCCCCTCCTGGTCCTCAAATGGCAGGGTGATCAGTGATAGTTTTTGCTCATGCATGTTGTACTCCACGACTTTGTCACTCTCTACACATTGGACATAGACCTTATTTCCCACAACAGCACTGTTCCCCCTGCCATTGACGAAATCCAGGTTGTGAACAGAGATGGTGTCCCTCCACTCACGAGTCTCTGATGAGTAGACGGTGGCGTAGGATCTCAAGTTTCTATAGTCGGTGCCCACCAAGGCCACGCGGAAAGGGCCGCCATCGCCATGGCAGTCGAGCTGGTCACATCGGGCCTTGGCGCAGAGCACCGTGGCACTACAGCGTATGCGCTTGTCCATGTGATCGCCGTGCGGCCACCACATGACGTTGTGGCACTCGGGGTCGCCGAATTCCCACCGCTGGCCGGTGACGAGGTCGCAGGCAACGAAGCCCTTGTTCCTCTTGCTCTTGGGGGCGTGGAGGAGGGCGAGGCCATGGCGGGAGTCGAGGACGTCCCAGCGCGAGAGGTCCTCGTACGCCGGGGGGCGGAAGCGGAAGGCCGCGGTGGGGACGAAGTGGGAGGAGGCGAAGCGATCCTCCGGTTCGCTGGTGGTGTTGTGGAGGAAGCCCAGCACGGGCGACGCACTGCGGGCCCTGCGGTAGTCGCGGGCGAAGTCGGGGGCGGACAGCATGCTGCGCCAGCTCCTGCAGCCGGCGGCGCCGCGGACGATGGTCACGGGGTCGTCCACGGGTACGCTCAGGAAGATCTCGCGCACGAGGTCGTCGATCAGCGTCGGCGGCGAGCGGGGGCGGCGGCGTCGCGGCGCACGCGAGCCGGTCGCCATGGGGATGGGGATGGAGATGGGGATTGTGGTTTTGGTGGAGGGATTTAGTTTTGGGGGCGCGTTCGGCGGTGGAAGCCGCCGCCGCGTGCGGTTTCCCCCCTTTTCTTCTTCCTCTTCGTTTGGGCGAGAGAGAGAGGGACGGACGGTGCCT